TCAATGAGTCCCGCCAACTCTTGGGCGAGAATCCTTTTCCCGCAAGGGAAAAGCAAGGGAGAATAAGGTGACTGCATAACCCAATTGTCCTCCCATTTATAAGAAAGTTTTCTTGAATATTAGGATTGTTTGGAAAATTAGAATGTTAGGCTTGAAGCAAAGTAACAATGTGGAGTAAATAAGGTTTCAGGTTTTTTTACATGTGCTATACCAGGCTTGTCGGTTTTACTTTTCTTGCAAGTCTTGCAATCATATTTTCAAAACAATCAAAATATTTTTACTGAAAAACAGCTTGCTCAAATAGGCCTTCAAAACCAGACTTTTTGTATTTCACTTTTTCCTAGTCAGCTTCTTAGAAATTTTGTTTCAACTGAAATGTTGTAGTATAGAGTGTGTTTGTATGCCATATGTATACATACAAATGTGTAAACACCCTTACATGTAGAGAATTTCTTTGTTTCATAAGCTTGTTTTAGCTGTGCTTTTTTACTGGCATAAAAACTGACTGAAAATAAAATCTTTTTGGTTTTACCCTTGGATTTACTATTCAGCTGCAGCTGCTCTTTTTAGTTAGGTTTTCCTTTGAAAACATGTTATTAGATTTAAAAACACAGATACAAAGTGACTGCAAAAGTCCAAAAGGAGAAGAGAACAGAGAAAGATGGAGATTTTAGTGTTTGTATATTGTAAGTATTTCTAAAAATGCTCTCCCAAATGAGTCTGGATCTGCTTCCTTCTCGCCCGTAGTCACTCTATTTACAGGGTAAACTAAGGTCTGATACGTAGGGCCCAAGGTACTCTGTGTAGCCAACAACTCGGTATCAGGCAGTTTGCTTATTTGTTGACATTGGCAGCATTATAAGAATTATATTACTCTTGAGGATTTTCCCATTAGGTACAAAAAGTCTTTTGTTACATAAATGTGTTGCACATATCTCTTAGTTTTTTCTTAAGAAGTGCAAAGGTGAATAGTGGAAGAAAAATCTTTTCCTTGCCTTTCCTTTGCATAATAAAATCCTTTATAATTGCCTGGAAAATATAGGAAAATCTTTTGTAAGTATGAATTAAGAGGCTTAGGTTCTCCTTTCAGACCTCACTGTAAAAGGAACTTACCAGATAAATTTAACAGATATTGGCTGGAACTGCACATTGAAACAACCTAGTTGGGTGTTTCAGAGTCTCTAACACAGCAACTGTCTCTAGCCATGTCAGTGCATGAAGTGACAGTGACTTTTTTTCATTTTTCACTTCTGAACGGCATAGGATAAAGTGTCCCAAATTATAATTTCCCTTTTGCTATATCTTTTGTTTCAAGCAGCGGGTGACCGTTTTATCAGTTAGAAAGCACAAAAGATCATAAATTTTGTGAGTAGGATACTGAAGATGTTTCCAAGTACACTGAGGTGGTGTTTATTGTGGGAAGAAGTATCCTGTTGGCTGCCAAAAAATTACTGTTGACAGAAATGAGTGAGTACACAGAAAATGAATTGCTGAAACACTTGCACAAAGTCCCAAAGGAGCTACATTTTTTCAGTGTAAGCTTGGTTTAAAACTCCATGGCACACACTTTCCAAAGAATTTAAGGCTGAAAATACAACTCATTTCATCTCCTAACCTCACCTCTCTGCTTTTGATACTAAATGAGACATGAAACATTGTTTGAGAAGTCAGAATATAACTTGTAATGGGTTTCTGATTTTATGGAATTTGAAGTTAAATAATTAACACTGTCTTTAATGTCATTCAGTAACTACATCACCTGGCCCTCGGCATCCTCCTATAGCTCCTGTCAAGCCTACACAAATGCGAAGAAAACCTCTGCCTCCAAACACTGTGACTGGTAAACCAGGGAGTCCAGGTATCTCAGCCTTTTCAGCATAAATATTTTATTATGTGTGAGATAATACTGAACGGACTAGCAGGGTATAGGAGAATTTTATAGTATAGATTAGTTTCCTTTAATCTGTGATATCTATAGAAACTAGTCTTCTGGAACATACAGGCCTTGTGTCTTTTGTCTTCATACATACATCTCTGTTTTCCTTTTGTTTTCCTAGCCTAGTTATGTCAAAATCATCCCTGGTAAGGGAGCTGAAAGCAAAATAGCATAATGCAAGTCATCCTTTAAGAAGAGCAACCTCAAGAACACTTCATGTCTACTATTTGCATTTGCAGTTACTTAATGTGCATGTCAGATGGCAGATACTGAATATTATGCTTCAGTGCATACTCCCAACTGGTTATTTGGAAAGAATTTCTGTCCCATGTATATGGCACATCCATTAACCACTGCAAATAATGAGCTAATAGGCACCCAGAAAACTAACTGCACTGGGAGGTAGAGTGAGCCATTTCATGTGCGAAGAGTTTTGCTTCATTCCCCTGCTTCTCAGTATCAGTATAAAAGCACACAGGAACTTTCACATTTCCTATTTTATTTTAATTTTATCCTGAAGCTGATACTCCCTATCCTCATGTATGTCTTTAGGCTAACATTCCAGGTAGTCAGAAACTATCATCTCATTATGCTTAGCATCATGAGAAATGCTTCCCTCTTCATATTACTCTCTGTAGTTCACTGGAAATGTAAAGGTCTTGGCTCTGCTTAATTTCCTGTTGGCTTTTTTTGGTTTGTTTCATCTGGGGCTTTGTGTGCTATTAAGGCACTAAATACCTAAATAATTCTTTAGTATTTTGTGCAGCAGATTAGAAGCAAGCATCTCCAAGCTGGATGAAACAAGCTGTATATTCACTCAACAGCAGAGCCAAGATCAAAATGTTGTGTCTGTACTTGCTGTGGATCGCTGGCGTTTCCTTAGTAACAGCTACAACAGAACATAAGACGATGTCAGTCTTAAGATGTAGCATAAAAAAATGTTTACCTGATACATTTTCTTTTGCTTGTAATGGGATCTATGCTAATTTTCTCCATTAAGTGTCTAATTAATTTACCAGTGTTTTGAAATTTCACCCTTTTTCCATACACTAGAGGCCAGGTTATGTGGTAGTCAGCAGTTACCATACCTTGCTAGGTATTCAAGATGGAACAAACTGGTTAGATGATCTGGTTCTTCCTTGTGGGGCCAGTAGCAGATTTTCCTTTTTCTGTGTTTCCTAGTGTTTTATCCAGCTTAGTTTTAAACATCGTAATTGAGTTTCTTCTGTTTCCCTGGAGAGACTGTTCCACAGTATTAACAGGAAAAATTTGCCTCAGTGTTCTCTTGGATTTTCCCTTTCATAATTCTGTCCTGTTTCTCTTTCTCATTAACATTGTGATTAATTCCTTACTTGCATCTTTCTTACTCATCCAGTGGATGAGTATTATGGGAAGGTTTCTATGCAGACATTTAAAGTCTCCTGAAGGGAAAAAAAGGAAACAAGAGAGTTCCAGAACGTTTGCGAAACTGGACTTTAGTGAGAATCTTAAGAAATTTCCACTTTATTAAGGAAATTAGTGGAAAGTAGGGAGAGAATATTTATTACAAGAATCTTAATAAATTTTCACTGTATTAAGGAAATGAATGGAAGGTAGGGATTTTTGTTGTTTTAAACTTGGTTCACCAGAGTTCTGCCTTCAGTCACAATGTTCTTCTGTGTCATATATGCAGAGAATGTAACTACATTATGTAGTTCTTGACTTTTGGGGGGTTGAGATTTCACAGTCATGCAGTGGTTTTCTGGGAGTATCTGCATGTTTTGTGAATGTAGCTCTTGTCTTTTACAGCTATTTTGAAAACAGTCAAGACATCCTTTACCATAGGTTGTTTGCCTCCTAGAAACCTGTTTTCTTTATTAGGTGATAACAGCTGAAGAGTAAAAGCAATGTCACATAATCTAAAATAATTTTTTAAATAGCTGTTTAATTATGGGAGATTACTACTACAGATTAGATCAGTTCAGAAAGAAAGCTTTTTCCTTTGGGTCATGTAGTGTTATAAATGTTGAAAATGCTGGACTTGGTTGCATTTTTCTTACCTTTATTTGAAGTGCATCTTATTTTCATTTAGTGGAAGCTCCAGTACTGTTCTATGGTTAAACTCTTAATGCAGACCATAGTTAAGGACTCAGTGTTTATCATTATACATGTTCCAGCTCCAGCCTTGCTAATACATGTGCTCTATTGAGAGTAGAAATGAAAGGACCTTGCTATATTTGTGAGAAGAATTCAAGTTTCAGTTGCTGACTTCAGCTATTCTTTCTTGCAACTTGTGAAGAAATGTGCTTTCTTATTTGAGAAACAGAAATGTCAATGCTGGTCATTTTGCATCCTGTTACCAGTCTGTGTAGGATGGTTCTGTGCATTAAACCAGATCATATTCAAGCTGACTGAAGTCCTGTAGGGCAATCTCCAAGTAGCAAAGAAATTTCTTACTGGGTTTCAGGAGTAGGTTATATTGGCAATAGGACAACTCGAAACTTTTGCAAATCCAAGCTGTTGTGTAAGTTTTGAGGGAATATCATAGTTTAAATGAAAGTACTTGTTTCATGAAGCAGTTGTCACAAATCTGAGTTCTGTTAGAAAATCAGAAAGCTGTTTCACTCTTTTAAATAGTGAATGTCTTGTTGCCACAAGTTCGTCCTTCTGTCACTATAGCTAAACCCGCTGGACCAACAACACCTGTAAGGACAGGAACGTCATATAAGACGCCAACAGCTTTTGCAACTCCAGAGTATTACGGTAAGCATATTACAGACAGTTCTGGTTTCCTTTTTTTATTTTCATGAACATAAAGGTTTCCTTGTTTTCTTTTGCTTTGCTTCCCTAAACTATATTGATCCATTGTATATGCAGTATAGGAAGTATTCTGTCTGGGGTGATTCTGATTTCCTTTATGCCACTTTGCAACTTTTCTAACTTGGCTGAGTTCATCTGGCTGTCTTCTGATATACACCTATAAGTGAGAACATGGTCGCCCTTCCATCTTCCTAGAAATCAATACAGGCTTAGTAGGCTTTCAATACTATTCAGTGGCTACTTTAAATCTGTGAAGGGAGTAGATAAGGCACTTCTTTTCCTGAACATTTCTTTTTGCACAGGACATAAATTCAAATTATTATTTGGAAGTGACTGATAGTGCTCAGCATGGTTGTGATATCCTCCTAGCTATCTGATCAAACTGCCGCCATTTAAATAGAAAAAAAAGTAATATGGTAAACACAGCAGTTAGTTGGTAATTTTCCCTTTATAAAATGGGGAGTTAACTACAAGTTCAGACCTAAATCTCCTCAAAGTGTCATACAGGAATGGGTTTGGGGGAGGGTGTGCTTAGAATTTTTTGAGCCAAAATATGCAGCTGTAGGTATATTGTCATAAATGATGCTGTTTCTTATTTTCCTGGATTTATAGTAATACTGAAATTCTTGTCTCCTTATAATGATTGTGAACTCACTGTGACCCTTAGTGCTCAAAGCAAGCTGGATGCTAGATTTATTAAAAAATGCTTGTTGTGAATATATTGTGTTTTGTCTGTTGGGATCCATTGTAGTATTTGCATCTAAGAGAAGAGACAGAATTTGTGATTTCCTTGTCACTATTTTTAGAGAAGTTCATGTGCCAACATAATAGTGCTATATATTCTATGAACGTGAAACAAGCTGTAAGCTAAACAGCCAGTACAGTGCAAAAAGATCCTTTTCAAAAGGTCTAAAGAGCATTTTGCATATATTGCATGAACTGAAGCTAGCAGCCATCATGAAGTCTGGTATTTTGATTATGGCTATCTTTATACTAGCGGGTAAGTATGGGGTTTACTTAGCATCACAGCCAAAATGTAATCCTTAAAAGGAAAAGACAGATCTGGCAGCGAAGGTCTACCATGGAAGAGCTTTACCATGATTTAAAATGCCAAATGAACTGTGAAATGCTGCAGTTCTAACTGTGAAACTTCATATTTATTGCAAATTAAATCATAACTGTGTTTCCCACAGTTGATGCAACTGTTTTCAGCTCAAGTCCTACATCAGAAACAGATTCTTCAGGCAAACCAAGGTACCAAGGTATGATATTAATAGCTGTGGTATTTTTATTGGGGGGAATATATGAAGACTGACCTATCTTGCATCAGATTTATCTTGTTTGATTATTCAAAGGCCAAAACTTCATTTGATTCTGTTTCACTTTAGTGTCAGATGAAAGGGCTGTAGTGCAGACCATCAGCATATTCTTGACTAAATTTTACTTCTACTTTCTTCCCTGCTACCACCTCCTAGTTTACGGTCTTGCCCACAAACTTGTTGTGGCTCTTCCCTGTATGCCAGCAGTAGTACAACTGCACACTGTTCACATTCCACCAAACCAAATGAAAATCATCCTGTGGGCTTGCAAGCATATCTGGAGAGGTATTGCCCCAATACCAGTGCACCTTACCATAAGGGATATCTACCCATCATATATGCCTCACCTCTCATTCCAGGCTGTGCATGTTCAGATAGTCTAGTAATACAGTAACGTATACTAGACTAGGTGACAAAGTAGTCAAGTTATTGCTATTGCAGTAATCTAGAGAGTTTAGCAAGGTGAGATGACAGGAAGAAGTGCTGTTTTACCAAAATATTTTTCAGGTGTTTTTTTCTTGGTCTGGTAAGAGACACTACATTTCTGAAGACACTGTCTTCCTTGCAAGAGCTTATTGTTTACATCCAATAGAAGTTTTAATTTTAGAACAAATGTGTTTGTCTTTAGTAATCTTCCTAATTTTAATGCAGAGCATCAGAAGGTTTGTTTCAAGGTTTGGTACTGTACCACTGAAAACGGTTAAGATTTTGACAGTCACTTTGGAAACTGCAAGTTTAATGATGGAATGACTCTGGACTAAACTTGTTACTCTTTCTGGTGAAACAAAGTGGTGATAGGTGTTACATCTTTGTATTAGCATAGCGGTCAAAATCTGCAAGTGGAATTGCAATGTCATTTTACTATAGAAGGACTAAAGTTAATTGTCCTATTTTATGACAGAAGTTAATTCTTTCAAACAGTGCGTATCGCCCACTAATACCTTCAGACTAATATTTCATCAGTGGTGCCAATGGCAAGGGGGTGAAGGCAGTGCAGATTCCAGGTCTAACAACAATAAAAAAACCCAACAGCTTAATATTGAATATATGGGTTTTATTCTTAAACACTTATGTTTGACTTCGACTTGTTTTAGTTGGTGCCCTGAGATGGAAGTTGTGCACTAGGTGAAATGGCATTGACATTTTGTAAAACCACTCTGTACTGAATAACGGCTCTTTCCTATTGCTCTTAGCCCCCCATGTCAAGTACATGAAGAAAGATGATGATGTGCCTTGCTCTATCACAAGCTCTCTTGAACATTTTCCTCAAGAAGAAGCTGGCAGCAAGGAAGAACCTACTCATCCTCCACAAAATCCTCCAACCAACCTCACAGTGGTGACTGTTGAGGGCTGTCCAACTTTCGTCATATTGGACTGGGAAAAACCAGACAATGATACTGTTACTGGTTGGTTTGATTTCTTTCCTCCATTTTATCAGAATACAGTATTTCCAGCCTATTTTTAATTTCACAGTGGTTTTATGCCATTTAAAAAATAGTTTAATCCCAAGGAAGTCTTACATCCCAGTGCTGTTCTTTTGTGCTACTGTCAGCTCCTGTGCGGATAGGAAAATGCTACTAGATTAGAATGAGATTTCTCTATCATTGGTGTCAGTGATGACACAAAAAGATACTTAAGTAAGTATGACTCTGTATCTTTGCTTAATTTCTGGCTTCTCTGTGTGCAGGATCTGGTAAGATCTAGTCAAGAAGTTCCAGCAATTTGACAGTAGTCTTTATTATATAGACACATGCACATAATGTAGATATCTTCCTTGACTTGTTGATGTTGTTGGTCTGTGTGCTGGACACACTGAAACCTTACATCCATCTAGTAAGTCAGCATAATACTTGCTGTATGGTATCACCAAGTTCTCTATGTTAAAAAAATCTGTTTGGTTTTTTTCATTTCCAAAGGAAGGGTTTTGTATTGAGAATAACTCCTTGTGAGTCATGCAGGAATCAGTACACAGACAGGTAAGCATGCAAGACGACCATTCATAATTTTTCTGTCGTCTTCTGTATACCAGCACAAGCTTACCAAAATTGAACATTGAAATTAATTAACAACTGAAAATTATGGTTCTTCTGTACTGTCAGGAAAATGGCTTTTGTTTTTACCATGGACATAAAATTTTTATTTGCAAAATCACTGGCTCATCACAGCCACAACCAAACGGATTTGGCTGTGTTGCATTACAGGTGAGTAGAACAGATAAGACTAGGAACTGTGAGGGCTATGTCTTGATCATTAGTCATTCACTTTATGTAAGTGGGATGTTTTCAGATGTTGTTGTATATGCATGTCATGAGAGATTTCAGTGCAGGGGTCTAATTAGGTGACTGTCACAAGCAAGGCCACTCTCCCCAAAATTAGTCCTTCCTTGATTTTCTAGAAATAATTACTAGGTTTAGCCTCTATTCTTTCTTGCTCTCCCCGTCGTTTTGAAAAATAATAAATGCAAAACCAAGGGGACACTCAAAACAAAAATTAGCCTGCACTTTTTTCTTCTGGGAAAGAGGAAGAAAGTTAGCCCTTCTGCTGGATTAAAAGGGGAATAAAAAGACACTGTAGGCTAATAAGAAGTACCAACAAGAGAGAAGAACAGTTACCCAGCTTGCCTCCTGTGATGTGCTTCATCCTGGAAGAAAAGAAAGTGTGAGCTTATTGCTAACCTTAGAATTAGGCTGAGGATAGGCTCTCTGTGAACACTCCCTATTCCAGGCAGTTCTGCAATGCTTCTTTTTGTTCAGGGAGAAGCCTTTTTGTTGCTGGTGCCATTTGGAGGCCTCCTCCACAGACCAGTCCTTACCTTGATTAGATCAGATGTCATTTGGTCTGCATGTTTTCTTAGAAATAGACCTGCTGTTTTTCTTGAGTATGTTAATGAACCCACTGCAGCACAACCATTCATATTGCAAAAATAGAAAAACTTTTCCCCTATAGCTGCTAAAACTGTCAGCGCACACCATCTAATGATGAGAGCAAGGCCTAATTGCCTTCTGATACTATTTCCTTTCTTTTTCAATGCGTGTTGAGAAATACAGAGCAAGCAATACTCAGTTTCTTCTGACACTTTAGGTAGAAACCCTTTCTCTGTTCAGTTGTAATCAGCATTTGTAAAAGTTAACTTTCCATGAAGTTTCTTCTCTTCTACTCTGTGATAACTGAGACACCTGGCATACCCTTCCTCATTTCAGAAAAGAAGATTAAAACCTTCTGCGGAATATGTGACTAATACTCATTCTGCTTCACTGAGAGAAACTTTAGTTTTCAATCTAGCTATCTTCCTATCTAGATGTAACAGCTTTCCCATAAATACCATCTTCATTCTTTTTAACTTCAATGTGTAAGACAAAATGTTTGAACTCTGTGGCTTACAAATACTCTCATTGAGCTTGTCTCCTTCGTCTTAACTTCAAAAAATTACTCAGTTAATGACTCATCCAAGGACACTTTCTGAATTCAAGAGAAGGCATTTAATCCCATTTTCTGAAAACAATGATTACTTCATATTGGCACCAGTATGACGTTACTTGTTTAGACAGACTTAAATCAAGTTTTCTGTCATCTCTTTTTATTTTTGTAGTTCATACATGTTTTATCAATCATCTGATTTAGGCATCACATCTTTTTTTTTAATGCACTTTTTCAGATAGAACTGTGGAAACAGAAAATGTAATTCGTTGAGCCTTTTTTTGAAATGGTTACTTTGCTTGACTTTTAGCTATGCACAAGGGGTTTCATTGTATTGGATATTCCTAAAAACAAAACTACTTCAGTAATGGAAAGGTCTGACAAATAATAACCAAAACAGTGATCAAGCTTACCTCTTTGCTTTTATAAAGGCTGCAAATGTCAAGAACCAAGACCATTCTGCTGGTGCTCTGCTACTCCCGTTATGTTGCCACAGAAATGTAGGGCAGTTTGTTGTCTTGTGCACTGAGACTCGTGCACTGAGTAACAAGCAGGTATTGGATGTGCTCAGTAGTTCTTTGTGTGTGTGTGTGTGCACATGTTTGCATGCCCATTCACATGCTGTATTTTCTTTCCCAACTTGAATGAATTAAAAAGTTCAAATCACATATTGACTTGCAGCTGGCAGAAGGCAGAAAGATTGAATTCCTGTAAAGTTACTTACTCTATCTGGATGTACCTAAGGCAGTGGATATCCACTCTCTTTCCCATGCTTCCTAACAAACGTCATTTCTCTGATGAGGCTTAATTAGGGCAAATAAGGGGTTTTGCATGACTTTTTTCCTCCATGGTTCACTCAGCCCTTGGTGGCTATATAGGAAAAGGTCTTGGTTTCCAAAAAGGAAATGCATAGAGAGAAAACACAGATATGTTTTACACAGATACATACTATCAATGCTAATGTCTTTGGTTGTTGCATTGGGGTCCACTTGAACAAATGATCTAAAGTAAAAGCCCTCTACTTACTTTTTTTCTTTTTCTTCACCCCCCAACTCTCATCTGAGACACCCATTCCTGCAGGTCCATGAGTTTGTTTTTAAAAGGCAGTGGTTGGTCTTTTGCTGTTCATGGGGACTGTTGTGGGGGAGGACTTCTGAACATGGAAATTTTGAAATCTTCAGTGTCAGCAGTAATTCCTTCCTCCATGCTGACTTTCTGACATAATTTTAAACCTGTTTTAAAGTTTTATGTTGCTCTGTATATGCTCTGAATAACTGAGTCTATTACAAGGTAAAGACAAAGAGATGCTGTGTTGTTGTGGTTTAACCCCAGCCAGTAACTAAGCACCACGCAGCCTCTCGCTCACTCCCCCTGCCCCAGTGGGATGGTGGAGGAAATCAGAAGAGTAGGAGTGAGAAAAACTCCTGGGTTGAGAT